TGCTGGGACTGAGGGCACTAAGCCTGCGGGTGCTGGGACTGAGGGTACCGAGCCTGGGGGTACTGAGACTTTGGGTGCTGACTCTGGGGGTGCTAAGACTTCGGGTGCTGACTCTGGGGGTGCTGCGAGTCCTTCTGGAGGTCCTGGAGCTGGAGGTACTGGAGCTACTAGGCCTGGAGGTACTACTGGAGGTACTGGAGCTGCTGCTGGTGCTGGAGGTGCTGGAGCTGGAGGTACTAGAGGTGCTTCTGGTGCTGGAGGTGCTAGAGCTACCACTACTGGAGGTACTGGAGCTGGACAGCCACCGCAGCCTGCTCTACTTGAGACGCTCTCGCCGCAGGCGATTTGTGCGTGGGTCGTTCGACGAGGCAGTCCTGGTGGTGGAGGGTACGGTCCGGCTGGTGCTGGAGCTACTAGTCCAGGAGGTGCTGCTGGTGCTGGAGGTGCTGGAGGTACTGCTGGAGGTACTAGAGGTACTGCTGGTGCTAGAGGTGCTGCTGGTGCTGGGGGTACTGGAGCTGCTGCTGGTGCTGGAGGTGCTGGAGGTGCTACTACTGGAGGTGCTGCCGGTACTGGAGGTCCTGGAGCTGGAGGTACTGGAGCTGCTGGTGCTGGAGGTACTCCTGTTACTGGAGGTGCTGGGGGTGCGGGAGCTGCTGACCCTGGAGGTGCTGGTGCTGGAGGTACTGGAGGTGCTGGAGCTACTGGCCCCGGAGGTGCTCGTACTGGAGGTGCTGGAGCTGCCGGAGCAGGTGGTGCTGCTGGTGCTGGAGGTGCTGGAGTTGCTACTGGAGCTGCTGGCACAGGAGGTACTGGAGGTACTACTGGTGCTGGAGGCGCTGGAGCTGGAGCTGGAGGCACTGGAGGTGCTGGAGATACTACTGGTGCTCGAGGTGTTGGCGCTGTCGGAGCTCGTGGTGCTGGAGGTGCTAATGCTACTGGTGCTGGAGGTGTTGCTGGGGGTACTGGAGGAGCTGCTCGTGCTGGAGGTACGAGAGCTACTGGTGCTCTTCGCCACCTTCTCAGTCTTCCGCCAGGTGCTACTGACTTCCCTGTGGCAGGTACTACTCCTCCGTTACTGTTTCCACCGGCGGACCAGTCACAGTCGCCGCTGCTACTGCACTCCCCACTGCCTGCTCCTGCTCCTTACACTGCGGTGACACAGTCCCTGACTGAGCGTCGAGAGCCTGAGACTCGTGCTTCCACCCCTGAGCGTCGAGAGCCTGAGTCTAGCTTTGACCTTGAGCCTGAGCCTAGAGCTGCCCTCCGTGCTTGTGTTTCTTGTACTCGTCGTCCGCGTGCTCCGGCTGTCCCCGGCACTCACGATATGACACTCCGTCCTTCCTCTATTCCTCAGCGTGTTGTCCTACCGTTACCTCCTACGTCCTCTCTGCCTTACGTTGCTGACCCTCCGTCTGACCTTGCTCGTGCGTCTAGTCCGACTGTTACTCGCCTTCTTGCTACGGTTGTGACGGACCCTACGCTCTCGTCTCCTGCTGCGTCTGCCCTAGTCGCTGAGCTCGTTGAATTTGCTGCTGTGTACCGCCTCGACTACCTTGCGAGTCTTGTCTCTGACCCTGTCCCTGCCTGTCCTCCGTCTGTCGGGGGTGAGACTGCTCTTGGCTGTACTGCCCTTGGCTGTGACGTTCTTGAGGACAGGCAGGAGGAGCTGGAGTGCCTTGCGGCCGCTTCACCCCATCACGCGACCATGCTGCTTGCCCCTGAGGGAGACCCGGATGCACTTGACATCCCCACCCCACGCTCCTACAGGGAGGCGATTTCGGGTGAGTACTTCTCTCAGTGGCAGACACCCATGGACGCAGAGATGGCTTCCTGGAAGTCCACAGGCACCTACGTCGACGAGTTTCCCCCACCTGGGGCGAACATCGTCAGTGGCATGTGGATTTTCAGGGTGAAGCGGCCGCCGGGTTCTCCGCCTGCCTTCAAGGCACGTTACGTTGCTCGAGGCTTCAGTCAGCGTGAGGGGGTCGACTTCTTTCAGACCTTCTCCCCCACCCTGAAGATGACCACTCTTCGGGTGTTGCTACACGTTGCAACTCAGCGTGACTACGAGCTGCACTCCCTTGACTTCTCGACAGCTTTCTTGCAGGGTAGCCTTCACGAGGCCATCTGGTTGCGCCGTCCACAGGGCTTCACTGGGTCGTTTCCTGAGGGTACCCAGTGGAGCCTACGGCAACCAGTGTACGGCCTACGTCAGGCGCCCCGCGAGTGGCACGACACACTGAGGACGACACTTGCGGCTCTTGGGTTTGCTCCTTCGACGGCTGACCCGTCGCTGTTTCTACGCACCGACACTACTCTGCCGCCGTTCTAAAACCTCGTGTACGTCGACGACTTGGTTTTTGCTACTGCTGACACTGAGGCACTGACCCTAGTGAAGGCGGAGCTGCAGGAGAGACACACCTGCACTGACCTGGGTGAGCTGCGGAGCTATCTTGGCTTGCATATCACCCGGGACAGAGCACGGCGCACCATCACCCTCACTCAGTCACACATGGTGCAGCAGGTCCTTCAGCGCTTCCGCTTCACGTGGTCCTCGCCACAGCCCACTCCTCTGTCTACCGGCCACTCGCTCTCAGCTCCACCTTCGGATGAGTCCGTAGAGCCGAGTGGTCCGTACCCAGAGCTTGTGGGTTGCCTCATGTACCTGATGACGTGCACACGACCTGACCTCGCGTACCCTCTCAGCCTCCTGGCTCGCTACGTGGCACCCGGTAGACACCGAAAGGTGCACTTTGATGCTGCGAAGAGGGTACTGCGTTACTTGTGTAGCACATCGGGCATGGGGCTCGTGCTTGGAGGACGGGGTTCGGTGGTCCTCACAGGACACTCTGTCACTTCTTGGGCCGACGACCAGACGACTCAGCGTTCGTCACAGGGTTACACCTTCAGTCTTAACTCTGGTTCTGTCTCGTGGAGGTCCACTCGTTCTTCTTCTGTGCTTGGTTCCACCTGTGAGGCCGAGATCTACGCTGGGGCCATGGCTGCACAGGAGCTACGCTGGCTGACCTACCTGCTGACCGACTTGGGGGAGCGGCCTCGTTCTCCTCCAGTTCTGTACGTCGACAACAAGGCAATGCTTGCCTTGTGTCGCGAGCAGAGACTGGAGCACAGAACGAAGCACATTGCTCTTCGCTACTTCCTTGCGCGTGAGCTGCAGCAGCGTGGTCAGCTGCGCCTTGCTTACGTGGCCTCTCGGGCCAACACTGCTGATGTCTTCACCAAGGCCCTTGGGTCTGGTGATCATCACCGTTTCTGCACTGCTCTTGGGCTTGTGCCCACTCTGCCTCACCTGCTGGTTGCTTGACTTGCTCTTGTTGTACACTGCTATATATCTTATACCTGCATGTTTTCTCTTGCTAGGTTGTGATCAGTGTACTGCCTTGCTATTATATACCTCTGCATGTGAACAGACCTTGTGGCCACTTGCTTGTGCTCAGAATGCGTGGTGAATTTGTGATCCACCCTGAGCTGTGTTCTCTTCTGCAGACTGGTCTTGTGACCGCTTGTTGTGTTTGCTGTCCCCTACTTTGCCTATGGGGGTGTGTCAAATTACACTTGTATCTCTAGGCTACAGTAGGGTCACTCCTTAGTGAGTACAACACTTTAGGGTTAGGTTTCCCCTACTTGTTCTCACCTCTTGCCTAGTTCATTCATTCATTCCTGCTTATTCTAACAAGGTTTGGGTGAGAGGATTTTTCCGATGTGGTAGTAGTTCTACTAGGATCAATGTGACTGCCAACGCGAGATTCTAAATCTCTCGTGTTCGGATTCAGCTGCTATCATGGCAAATGTAACGCGAAAACCTAATATCGTGCAACAAAAATTTCCTCTATCTTCGTCTCTCACGGGAGCCTCACGAAGCACGCAAGGAATGCGGGGATGGAATATGTGCGAGAACAACCAGCTTGGAAATATGCCGACAACGTAGGGAATGGGATTGTGGGTTGGCTTCTCACCTATTTTTTCCACTTCTAACGAACAGAAACGTTTAAGATATCGGCAAAACGCTCTGAACCGCACACCAGCGTCGGCGTTCTTTGAATCAAAGCCCCCGAAGAAACTGAAGACTTGGGCTGACCAGTGTGGTTGGTGGTGAGGTGGGGGAAGTGGTGAATTTGAAGAGATTATCGTATTACAGTGAAACGCCAGACATGGGCTAGTCTGTATCTAATAAAACTTCTGCGTGTTAGTCCCTAGGTGTTTAGTATAGATGGTGGTTGAAGGCTTTGACTAAGGACGTATTTGCATAATAGAGAAAGATATGAGGTAGGCATCTCATCATACTGGAAAAAACATACCAACATCATACACAGCATGCAAGCGCAAATGGCGGAAAGAAGTTTGTCCGACTGTCAAATAGGATGAGATGAGTTGAAATTTGTGGACAGACAAATAGGGTGGGATAAATATGGAGTACACAAGAACAACATTCACATACTTATGATATAATGCTCAAATTTTAAGCTGCACATCTTGCTACCAATAGTGTATCATTCCCGCGTTACAAGTGGGGCGCTAGCAAGTGATCTCCACACCCATGGCGGCTTGCCGGGCAGCAATGGCTCTCTTTGAAAAGAATTAGCGTGTGGGGGGTCGACTCTTGAGGCGCCTCAGCAACTGCGGCAGTTTGAAGGCCAGCAGCAGCAGCACCGCCAGTGGAGGCAGCAGCAGCAGCAGCAGCAGCAGGTTTTGAGGCGCCTGTAGAGCAGACAGCGCCACCCCCATGACTGCAGTGCCTAGTGGCTCAGAGGGTGGGGTGTGGGAGGGAGGGGAGGGGATTGGTGCCGGCAGGGTGGAAAAGGAGAGCGGGAGGAGTGGGAAGCGGTGATTTGTGCAGAGAAGAAGGGAATTGGTGGAGCAGGAGCAGAGGCACTGGCACAGGGGGTGGACTGGGGAGTGCAGTGAGGGTGGGGTACAGGCAGAGTGGAGTGGACGGTTGTGGGTTTGGCTTTTGTGAAGGGGCAAGTTGAGGAGGTATGCAAGAACGTCAAGGCAGGTCAGGTGCTTGTTGGCAAGCAGGCATGTTGGCAAGCAGACATGTTGGCAAGCAGGCATGTTGGCAAGCAGGCAGGTTGGCAAGCAGGCAAGTTGGCAAGCAGGCATGTTGGCAAGCAGGCATGTTGGCAAGCAGGCATGTTGGCAAGCAGGCATGTTGGCAAGCAGGCATGTTGGCAAGCAGACATGTTGGCAAGCAGGCAGGTTGGCAAGCAGGCAAGTTGGCAAGCAGGCATGTTGGCAAGCAGACATGTTGGCAAGCAGGCATGTTGGCAAGCAGGCATGTTGGCAAGCAGACATGTTGGCAAGCAGGCATGTTGGCAAGCGGGCATGTTGGCAAGCAGGCATGTTGGCAAGCAGGCATGTTGGCAAGCAGGCATGTTGGAAGCAGACATGTGTGGGCTAGAATTTCAAGTTGGCCGCCAACAAGGAGAACGGTAGAGACGTGTGGGTTCTGCAGGTGGTGACTGCAGGTGGTGAGTGCAGGTGGTGAGTGCAGGTGATTGGAGTGCTTTGAGACATCCCAAAACACTACTTTTATCCTGCAGCTGGTTGGAGTGCAGCTGGTTGGAGTGCAGCTGGTTGGAGTGCAGCTGGTTGGAGTGCTTCCTCACTCTGAGGTGACTCAACAAACCTAGGTGTCAACTCAGACGGCAGCACAACAAGGCTTTCTTAACGGATTACTGAAAAACACCACCATTCAGATCAGAGACAGCAGCTTAGGAGTTAACACTGACAGGGATTTGAGATTAGTGAGCGTGGTGATTGCAGCAGGTATCGTCCCTGCAAGGCGATTGTAGCTGAGTACCCTGAAGACAGGTGGGTGGATGGATGGACATGGAGGGAAGGAGGGAAGAAGAGGGAAGAGGTGACGAGGAGAGAAGACGATGAGGGGAAGTGGAGAAGAGCAGAATAAAAGGAGGAAGGGAAAAGAGGAGGAAAGGGGAAGAAGACAAGAGGAGGATAGGAGGAGAAGTGGTGGAGAAAAAACGAGGAGAAGAGAAGAGGAGGGAAGAGGAGAAGAGGAGAGAAGAGAAGGAGAGGAAAGCAGAAATGGTGCCTGGGAGGAGGGTGAGTGCTGTTGGTGAAAGAGAGTGAATACAGCCACAGCAGCAGACGGAGTTGAAGTCAACAACCGTGCCTTCGCATTCTTCTATTCAACGCTTTCGTCTCCCCCTTCCTTCTAGTTCCGATACTCATCCCACCCACACTCTCAAACCCCCATTGCTTGGCAGAGGAGGCGGTGGGAAATAAGGCATAGAGAAAGCGGGGGGGTTGTGGAGGGGGAATGGGCGCACAGGCTGGTGAGTGCGGTGAGGTGGGCAATGGAGGAAGGAATGGTGCCACTCAGGCTGTTTTTCAGGAGATTCCTGCCATGGCATGACATGGGAAGGGATGGGATGGCATGAGATGTCATGGGATGGGAGGGGAGGGGAGCGGATTGTATGGGACCGGATGAGATGGGATGAGATGGGATGGGATGGGATGGGATGGGATGGGATGGGATGGGATGGTATGGTATGGTATGGTATGGTATGGCATGGCATGGTATGGCATGGTATGGCATGGTATGGGATGGGATGAGATAGGACGGTCGTTCAGGCCACTAGCCCATAGGGATGCATCCACTCGCTTGCTCATGCACTTGTTATCCAATCACTCATGATTAACTTCTCCACTTACTCAATCACTCACGCTCTCAAACCCTCACCCACTCACTTACTCAATCACTCACGCTCTCAAACCCTCACCCACTCACTTACTCAATCAGTCACGCTCTCAAACCCTCACCCACTCACTTACTCAATCAGTCACGCTCTCAAACCCTCACCCACTCACTTACTCAATCACTCACTCACACTTTTACCCACACGTCACTGACTTGCCCACCCTCTCTCAACCTCTCACTCTCCCACTCACTAGCTCACTGAGGGGACCTATCAGGCTGCCACACCTGATCACCCCACAGCATCTTGCATGCCTTCCCCATCACCACTCACAACTCCTGCAGCTGCTTGAGGCTGCTGATTGCCTCTGGAATGGAGCCTGAGAGATTGTTGTCTCTGAGTATCCTGGAGGAATATGAGGGTGGTAGGAGGGTGGGTAAGGGCGGCGAGGGAAAGGGAGTCATTGGAGGTGGAAGGAAGAGAGGGAATTTATGAGTGAGAGAATGGAAGGGGGAAAGCTGAAATGGTGGATGGATGGATGTATGGAAAAGTGCAGACATGCCTTCGTTTTAATCCAAAGCGTTCTTATGTAACACGGTAGTGCTATGTTATTATTTCGTACTGCTATGGTAGCTTTACGTTGAAATCGGAGGAAAGGTAGGTGGCGTAGGATAGAGGGAGAATGGAAGGGCGGGTAGAAGGGAAGAGGGCAGGGAGAGAGATGGGATGGGATGGGACGGGATGGGACGGGATGGGACGGGATGGTATGGGATGGGATGGGATGGGATGGGATGGGATGGGATGGGATGGGATGGGATGGTATGGGATGGGATTGGATGGTATGGGATGGGATGGGATGGCATGGCATGGGATGGGATGGGATGGCATGGCATGGCATGGGATGGCATGGCATGGCATGGGATGGCAGTGATGGGGTTGGCGATGGTAGGAGAAGTAAAAGCTCAAGGATGTACAGACGAAATGAGCAAAGAGGGATAGGTGGGAAATCGGAGGCAATCTTCGGTTGAGTGGATTTGGTGGGTTGGGTCTAACCCCCATTCAGTATCCTCCTTATAGGGTGGGAAATCGGAGGCAATCTTCAATAATGAGTGGATTGGGGGATTTCGGTTGACCACATTTGGTTAAGGTTGGGATGTTGGTGTACCACCCAACCCACAAAAGCTACAATTACGCAAAACTTTGATATAATAATAAAAAACACAAAAGCTGAGATCGAAGGCTCACTTGAACAATGGGATGGGATGGAATGGACGGGCATGCCATTCGCCCATAAGGATGCCTCCACTCACTCGCTGACTCAGCTTCCCTCAATCACTCACCCTCTCATCCCCTCACCCACTCAGTCACTCAGAATTTCATTCACACAACACTGACTCACCCATGCCATCTCTCCGCCTCTCACTCTCCTCTCATTTGCTCACTGAGGGGACCAATCAGGCAATCACACCTGATCATCCCACAGCACCTTGCACGCCTACCCCATCACCACTCACAACTGTCGTAGCTGTTTGAGGCCGCTGATTGCGTCGGGAATGGAGCCTGAGAGACTGTTGAGGTTGAGTTTTCTGGAAAATGATGAGGGTGGGGCAACACACAGAGGGGAAGGGCGGTGAGGGGACGGGTGGAGAGGGGAAGGCGGAGAGGCGTTGGAGCTGGAAGGCAGGGAGGGAAATCATGATTGATAGAATAAAAAGGGCAATGCTGAGGAGGTGGATGGGATGGGATGGCATGCCAAGACATGGCATGGTATGGCATGACATTGCATGGATGGGATGGGATGGGATGGGATAAAATGAGACGGGATAGGATGGGATCACACAATGTACAACATGAGCTACAACACCCCGTCACCACTCACAACTCCTGTAGCTGATCGAGGCTGCTGATTGCCTCTGAAAGGGAGCCTGAGAGACCGCTGTAGATGAATGCCCTGGAGCATGGAGAGGATGGGGGGAGGGCGGAGGGGGGAAGGCGGAGAGGGGAAGGGCGGAGAGGGGAAGGGAGGCGAGGGGAGGGAAGGAGAGGGGAATGAGAGGCATAAGAGAAGAAGCGCTATCGGAACGGGGAATGTTAAAATGGAGGATGGGAGGGAGTAGTGCGGAGTTCGTTTTCAATTGATCTAAGCATTCTGTTGCCACATGGTGGTGCCATGTAACTATTTTATAGCTGACTGAAAGGCATGCACTATTATGGTAAATTCCTGCTTACAACGAAGAGAAAGAAGCTTAAATCCCACGGAGAATGGAGGAGAGGGGGGTTGAGGGAGAACGGGAGAGAGGCGGGAGAAGGAATAACGGGAGAGAGGGGGATGGAGGGAGAACAGCCGCACAGGCTGGTGAGTGCGGTGAGGTTGCCAATGGAGGCGGGAATGGTGCCACCCAGGTTGTTGCAACACGCATGCCTGCCATGTGGTGCGATGGGAGTGCATGGCATGGGATGGGATGGCATGGGAAAACATAGGATGGAATTCAGATTGAAGATATGTGATGGATGTGATGGATGTGACTATGGACAGTGGTGGATGTGATGGCATCCATCCAAATCACCACAAAAGAAGCCTTTTGATACGTCTCAAAAGGCATATAATATATCAACAGTGGTGGATGTGATGGCATCCAAATCAAACGAGCAAATGACAAAAGAAGCAGCACTGGAGGGAGTCAAACGAGCCACGTCAATAAAGAAGCTCCATGAGCAACACGAGCAAGACGAGCAAGACGAGCAACACGAGCAACACGAGCAAGATGAACTGCCTACACACAAGAGCCATTGAAAAGGTACAAGAGACTTTTAGAAAAGGACTGCAGGCACGGCTCCTCCTCAAGACGCACGGCTTGCGATGCTTTCCCCGTGCTGTTGCTTGTCCCGGTAAGGTGAGTTGAGGCATAAGGCAGAATAACTTGCATGACTCAAAAGAATGCACTCTTAGAGCAACTTGATCCAAACCAGACCATGTCTGCAACGCAACGGAGTGAACAAATGACTGGGTTAACGTCGGTTGGTTAGAGCACCACCTTCACCCAGCATGCATCCTACGTCCGTACAAATCTTCCAGGTTGGTGAGCGCTCCTATCGACTCGGGGATGGACCCTGACAGCTTTCCCTCCGCAAGGTCTCTGCGATCATGTGTGGCACAGAGAGGGGCGGTGGAGGCTGGGTGTGGGAAAGTTGATAACATATGGCCTCACATGCATGTGTATGATGTGCATGAGTGTGCAGTGCATGTGTGTGCAGCGCATGCGTCGTCTGTGCATACCACTACATAACCACTCACAACTCCCTTAGCTGCTTGAGGCTGCTGATTGCCTCTGGAATGGAGCCTGCAAGATTGTTGTGCATAATATTCCTGGTGCATGGAGTGGTTTGGGCGGAAACAGGGAGAAGGGAAGTGCAGAGAGGGGAGGGGAATCATTGGAGAGGGAAGGCCGGAAGGGAAGGTATGGGTTGTTGAGTCAGGGATGGACCCCAATAGCATTCGCTCCCAATGGCATCTGGATCAATCACGGCATAGTGCGGTGAATGGTGGCAAAGAGAGGTGCGGTGGAGGAAGGCTGCGGGAAAGTTGATAACGCGTGGTCTTGCATGCATTGGCAGTGCTTGCAGCACCAGCACTGCATGTGTCTGCAGTGCATGTGTATACATAACCACTCACAACTCCTGCAGCTGCTTGAGGTTGCTGATTGCCTCTGGAATGGGGCCCGAAAAGTTGTTGTCGTAGATCTTTCTGGTTCATGGAGAGTGTGGGCGGAAACAGGGAAGCGGACACATTTGATAGCATTTGTAATTTAGCTTCAAATTTATGTGGAGTGGATTATCATAGGTGTAAAGAAGGAAGTTGGGATAAGAAAAAGTTGACAAGGGCACACACTATATGGAAAAGGATGTTCGCTCAAGCGTGGTGCAAGGCATGGCAGATGGTGCATGGCAGCACACACAGTGAAGTCAAGTCTGTGAGGCTGAAGATCCACGCAGGCAGCTCCCCTGACAGATGATGATTCGTCAACAAGTGCCTGATGATGGAAACAATCAAGAGAGGAGGAGCAGTCATGAGAGGAGCGAACATGGGAAAAGAAAGGACCATGCAAATTTCTCTTTAATGCTGCAGTGTCATGCACAATGCTTCACATGCCCTTCAGGCTTGGCACATCCGCTAGGGTGCCATCGCGTGCCATCACATGCCATCCCATGCCATCCCATGCCATCACATGCCATCACATGCTATCACATGCCATCACATGCCATCACATGCCATCCCATGCCATCCCATGCCATCCCATGCCATCACATGCCATCACATGCCATCACATGCCATCACATGCCATCCCATGCCATCCCATGCCATCACATGCCATCACATGCCATCACATGCCATCACATGCCATCACATGCCATCCCATGCCATCCTATGCCATCACATGCCATCACATGCCATCACATGCCATCACATGCCATCCCATGCCATCCCATTATATCACATGCCATCAAATGCCCCTCACCCGGCCTTACAGAGACTGCAGCTTCTGCAGCTGGGAGAGCTGCTCTGGTAGTGATTCGAGTTCATGGTTGCTCGACAAATGGCTGCATACACCATGCATGCACCATGCATGCACCATCAATGCACCATGCATGTGTAGGGCTTAGCAACATTGGAGGGTGCTCCAGGGGAGAGAAGTGGGTTGTTGACAAGGGGTTGTTGACAAGGGGCTGTTGACAAGGGGCTGTTGACAAGGGGCTGTTGACAAGGGGCTGAAGGAAAGAAACGAGTGGCAGGAAAAGGATTGGATTGGGGAGCAGCAGGCAGTGCAGGTGAGAGCACAGAGATCATGGCGACGGGGTGTGAGGGGCGAGATGGACAGACGTTGAGTCGACACAGAGTCCTTGTGGAGGAACTAACTCTACTCCATGTAAGAAGTTTATGAGAATTCTCAAGAGGAACAAACTCTACTCCATGTAAGAAGCATTCTGCTCCATCTCCATCCCTTGCACTCATTCTCTCACCTCGATCATTCACTTACCCCCAGATCCTTTGTCTCACCCTCTCAGCCTGCGATTCGCCTACCATGCACTCCTCCCCCACCTGCATCCCCCCCCCGCCGTGAGCACACTCACAGGCGAGTGAGCTGCTGCAGATTTTCCCAACCTTCTTTGCTGAGAATTGCAGATTTGCACAACTTCAAATCACTGCAGGCAATGCAGGCAGGAGAAAGAAACATGGGTGGAGTGGACGGATGGATGGATGGGGATGATAGGGGTAAGGGAAATGGGATGGACATAGACAGACAGAACAAGCAACAATAAGACTGTCCAAGCAAGGATAAGTCAGTGCAAGCAAGGAAAAAGTTACAAGCAAAGGGACTCCGAGAAAGTGGGGGGGAGTGGGAATGGAACGAGTGAGGGCCATAGCAGGAGTCTCACAGATCCTTGAGATGGGACAATGCGAGGAGAGCAGTGGGCAGAGAGCTGATGAGGGTGCACTCGCTGATGGAGCTGTGGGAGGAGACGGATGGCATGGAGGGAGGGAGGACTGAAGTCGAATGAAATACCGGTCTCAAATATGTGAAGAGAATGGAAACAGAGGTGAGGGAACAATGTGGGGCGTACAGCAATGACATGCTTACAGTGCAATGACATGCTTACAGTGCAATGACATGCTTACAGTGCAATGAGATGCTTACAGTGCAATGACATGCTTACAGTGCGATGACATGCTTACAGTGCAATGACATGCTTACAGTGCAATGACATGCTTACAGTGCAATGACATGCTTACAGTGCAATGACATGCTTACAGTGCAATGACATGCTTACAGTGCAATGACATGCTTACAGTGCAATGACATGCTTACAGTGCAATGACATGCTTACAGTGCGATGACATGCTTACAGTGCAATGACATGCTTACAGTGCAATGACATGCTTACAGTGCAATGACATGCTTACAGTGCAATGACATGCTTACAGTGCAATGACATGCTTACAGTGCAATGACATGCTTACAGTGCAATGACATGCTTACAGTGCAATGACATGCCCATCGCCATCACAGCGCACGGCATCCATGCTGCCACATCCACGCCCCTCTTCCATGTGCTCGTACCATTCACCTCATTCCATTCGCGTGCTATATTCTCCAAAGCCTCCACTGAAATACATTCATGTCACCCATACCATTCCACCCATGCCATCCAGCCACGCCATACAGCATGCCATGCCAAGGAGAGAGGCGGGAGCGGGTAGAGGGAATAAGTCGGGGACGGTAGAGGGATGAAGGTGGGGATGGTAGAGGGATGAAGGCGGGGATGGTAGAGGGATCAAGGCGGGGATGGTAGAGGGATGAAGGCGGGGATGGTAGAGGGATGAAGGCGGGGATGGTAGAGGGATCAAGGCGGGGATGCAACCAGCAGCACGTTGAACATGATGGTGCAAGATGGTCACGGGGCGGTATGATGGCACACAACACGGCTTACTTTCGGCGTCCACCACGGGAGCAGCGCGTGCGATGGGCCGCATGATGCAGCAGCGCGCCACCACCAGCGCCACCACCGCCGCTCTCGCCGCCACCATGACGCCACCGCGCCTCTGGAACAAGCTCACAGCACTTGGGCTTGTTCAAGTTGTTTCTGGCTGAGAATTCTTTCCCAAGAGAATTTCCTTAGAGCAAGGAAGAACAAACAGAAAGAGAAACCAGAAAACTACTCTCTCTATCCTACGAATGCATTTATATGTACAGTACATTTACAATTCAGACATGCGGCTCGGAATGTCGATTCGGGTGGCCAGCCCCAACATCGAACCGCATTCTACTTTCCCCATTTACATTTGTACCACTCACTGCAATTGCACACGTGTTACATTCATATTCCTTCAACTCTGGACTTCCGCCACCTGTCCCACGCGAAAGTCCCCCAAAGTCAGTCAAGGCACGAAACCTATGTTTCGTCCTTCTCACGTGGGTCCCCCACGTCCTGCCCACGTTCTCCCCTGCGCTGCCCACGTTCACCCTTGCACACGGCTGCTGCATGTTGCTGCCTCCCGTGCGCTTCACGCTGGCTCCCGCGCAGGTGCCCCTTGTTACATTACCTCCCCTCCCTGAAGGCACCGTCCTCGGTGCCAATGAGGCAAGATAGACTCCAATGGCACGAGGAGCATGGCAGAGGTTGGAAAACGGCTCCCATGAGTCTTCAGATGCTGAGGTGTTGCGCCAGTGAATGAGGTATTCACGGCCAACCGGAGTGTCACGGTGTGAGAGGATTGTGTCGACCTCATGCAGGTCCGGATGGGCAGAGAACATGGGTGGGCGGGGCTGGAATGGGTGAGAGGGAGTATGGTAAGGACGGAGAAGGTGAACATGGAAAACAGGGTGTATGGTCATGTGAGGAGGAAGTTGAAGGCGGTAGCTGACCGGTGAGAGAACCTTGGTGATGGGGAATGGTCCAACGAATCTAGGTGCAAGCTTGCGAGAAGTTCCAGCATTCAGCAGGGGCAGGTTAGCCGTTGAAAGCAGCACCAAATCACCAACTCTCAAAGTGGTGTGACGCCTATGCTGGTTGGCATAGCGAACTTGGCGCTCTTGTGCAAGCTGAAGCTTCCTTTGGGCAAGTTGAAGAATGCGGTGATGAGAAGAGATGAAATCTGCTGCTGTGGGGTTAGGGGAATGAAGAGAGTGAGGGAGGGATGTGACTGAGCGTGGTAGCTGTCCAGTAGCTAACAGAAACGGTGGCTCTCCTGTGGCAATGTTGGGGCTGCTGTTGTAGGCAAACTCCACTGCTGCCAAGTGCTGATCCCAGTCAGTTTGCATGGCATTCACACACGAGCGTAGCGCATCCTCCAGGGTTCTGTTCATGCGCTCTGTCTGACCGTCAGTTTCAGGGTGGTAGGCTGTAGAGAGTCGAATCTGTGTGCCCA